CCTGCCTCTTCCCCTGGGACAGTGTCATAGTGTTATTATGTGCTGTCTGATAAACATATATAACATTCTTAACGATCTTGAAAACTACAAGCATCTCTCTCATCAGTCAGCCTGGCATAAAGCATGTGGAGAGATTCTTCCGGATGAATTTTGGAACTCTCTGTGGCGTTCTCCTCCATTTAAAACAACAGTAACCACTATTAAGTTACAAGCTTTGAAACTAGTGTCACATTGGTACTTAACATTCAAATTCACAACTCACTCCTTTTTGTTGGAAAAAATGTGGATCTCTTGGTTCTTACCTTCACTGCTGGCTATATTGCCCCCATATAAAAAAAATTTGGGATATGGTTCTGAATTGCATAAAAGTCATTACAGGCCTTAATATTCTCCCTTCTCCTGCTAATCTTTTTCTGAATGGTTGGTCAGCCATACAACATGCACATCCCAAAAGGAAAATCATTCCCATCCTTCTCTCAGCAGCTTATGCAGCAATTGCTATTCGATGGAAAAACTCACATCCCCCCAAATCTGTCTCTCTGGCACAAGAAACTCTGGGACTTTTACATCTTGGCTAAAATAACACTGAACACCTCTCCACTAGCCTCTGCCTCAACTCTTACTAACTTTTCTGCTTTCATGGCTCCCAGTATTAGAATACTTAACGACTCAAGGTGAAATACCTAGTATAATGGATCAACTACATTTATGGTGACAACATAAGGATTATGTAGCTTAGTATCTCTTTCTCTTCTCTCCTGATTTGTTTTCCTCTTCCTCGCTCTTCTTTTCCCCCCTTCCCCTCTATATTATCAAGTGTACTTCTGCTCCACTGGCAATAGCTATGACTCAATTTTGTAATTGTTATACCAGTTAATGTTACATTCTTAAGCCTCTGTATTTCATATTTATCTTTCAATAAAATGTTAATTAACACAAATGGTGTCTGTGACCAAGACACCTTTTGTTTGTGAGCCAGGTGTTTCTAGAAAAAGATCTTAACTGTTATTTTTAATGTCTTGGTAAATAGGTTCGATTACCTCAGTGTTCCTTATGTGGGGTTGCCCTTGAACAGTGTTTGTGAACTACATCTGGTTCAGTGCGGGGGCTGGGGGGGGGGCTGGGCAGATTGTTTACTGGAACTTACTGCTCTGAGGATGTTATTCCGATGCTTAAAGATCTGCACTTGCAGTTTGTTTCTGGGCACAATTAAAAGTACTGATATTGATCTGTAAAACCCTAAATGTTCTGAGACTGGGGTATCTGAAGCACTGCCTTCTCCCATATGTATCTTGTCAACTTTCTGATACTGTATATAAAAGCTATGCTCTAGGTGGTAGATGGGTGGACCAGACTGTGAAACTTGCTCTCCAGAAGTCTTTGTTTGGCATCCACTCTTCTATCAGTGCCTAGTAAAAGAAGTTTTATTTGATCAAACATTTATGAAAAGAGAAGTATGTGTCAGGGTTCGATAGTCAGGTCACACAACTAGAGATGCAAAATTTCCGGAAATTTTGAAGCTCGGAAAAAAACCCGTTTTTTCCCCAGTTTTTTCCGGGGAAAATTGAAAAAAATGCTACATTAGCATTTATTTTGTCTTTTCTAGATTGAAAGTCATTCTGTTACTTTAGGAACATAAAATATGACTATGGACATTTTTACTTGGCATGAAATTATCACAACTAGCATATTAAAAATATAGTGTATCCAAACAATTATTACAAACAGAATACCCACCCACATGCAAAAACAAAACTGAAACCTTTTAATTTTCTTCTGACAATAGCACCTCCTAAAGGAAGAAATGCATCTTGTTCTTGCATTGGAGAGTTCAGTTTGTAACCTAGGACTTGCTTGTCCTCAGTGCACAGAAATTAGATCAATCTGATACCATATATATATATATTAGAAATGATTTTGAAAATATTTGCACACCTTGTCTTAAAATATTTTATAATGTTAAAATAAAACGTTCCATAGTCAATTTTTAAAATTTATTTTTTTCAATTTTTCAGAAAAAAACAAAAAAGGCTTCAGGAAAAAAATGGAAAAAAACTCATTTCCCCCCCGAATTTTTCCAGTTTTTTTCCGGGCCTTCACATCTCTACACACAACACAGTGCTTCATAAGAAGAATTCTGTTTATTGGTACACCAGGACTATGACACGTGTACTGCTTGTGTCAGGAA